CCGCATTGCATTGACCGGATCACCCCTTGCAAACAATGTAGAGGAATACCATACGATGGTTGAATGGGTTGCACCTAATTATCTTGGTCCGAAGATTGAGTTTCGAAAGAAATACAAAGAACCAATCGAGCAAGGGCTATTTGCTGATAGTACTCGGAGCGAAAAGTTCAAAAGTCAAAAAATGCTTGAGATTTTGAAAGCCGATTTATCCCTGAAAGTACATCGTGCAGATACATCAGTCCTTCGGGACGATTTGCCACCAAAAAAGGAATTTACCATCAATGTTTCCCTTACTGAACTACAGAAGCAAGCATATATCACTTATGTGCGCTCAATGTCTTCACAAAAACCTTCTCGAACGAAGTCCGGAGATCTAAAGCAAACAACTGTATGGTCATACATCAACATACTGACTCTGCTTTGCAATCACCCCTATTGTTTCAAGGCAAAATTGGATGCACGAAGCAACGAGTTGCAAGGAAATTCCCAGGCCAATCTTCACACTTCTACCACATCTCGGACTCGAAAAGGTAAGCTAATGGAACCTCAGGACGTGACGGATCTTGAGAATGATCCAGAAGCCTGGAAACTTGGCGTCTCAGAAGATTTGATTTCGGCAGAAGCAAAGGTTTTTGGGTCTGTACTGGGGAGCATTACAAACCCAGAACTGTCAAATAAAGTCCGGATTCTTTGCCAAATACTCGATGCTTCAAGAGCGGTAGGTGACAAAGTTTTGGTGTTCTCTCAAACACTTGTAACTCTTGACTTTCTCGAAATTATGTGCCGGGATCAAGGCAGAAAATATGCAAGGCTCGATGGCAAAACTGCTATGAACAAACGCCAAGCACTTGTCAAAGATTTCAACTCTAACGATTTGGAGCTCTATCTGATTTCAACTACTGCTGGTGGCTTGGGTTTAAATCTATATGGTGCTAACAGGGTGGTTATTTTTGACTTCAAATACAATCCAATTAACGAAGAGCAAGCAATTGGCAGAGCATATCGCATTGGACAGAAGAAACACGTGTTTGTTTACCGTTTGATGGCCGCTGGTACTTTCGAGGGCAGTATTCAGAATAAAGCAGTGTTCAAAACGCAACTTGCTTCTAGAGTTGTTGATAAAAAGAATCCATTATCATGGGCCCAGAAAGGCTTGGGAGAAATTCTCTTTGAACCAAGAGAAACCTCACAAGAGGATCTTTCGGAATTTGAAGGAATGGACAGCGTCGTCCTAGACACTATTTTGAGTCTCAAAGAGAATAAGGGGGCAATTTTGAAGATTATTCAATCTGACGATTTCGAGAAAGATGATGATTACAAAATGACACCCGCAGAAAAAAATGAGGTTCAGCAAGAAGTCGCAGAAGAACAACTGAAGCGCTCTGATCCAAAAGCTTACGAATTACTTATGCGAAAGAAACACCGTGTCGCAATTAGTGCCACACATCAACAAGTTCAACAGAGACAGCCTCAAATGTCTTCCACTATCAAGAGCGAAATGGTCATTGGTAAAAAGCTTGAGAAGAATCCTGAAAACAAAAATGGCAATTCAGACGTAGAAGAGATATCACCAGGACATTATGTAAGACACAGTTTCAATAGAGATCTTTTTTAGATTAAAGAAAGCTAATATCTCATAGGCACAGCGACGTTTCTTTAAAGAGCTCAAGAGTATTATCAGGAGTACTGACCCACTTAAGAACGAAAATATCATTCGGCAAAGAACTGCAGATATTAGCATGGAAATCCAAATGTTTTATCATGGTAGAGTTGAATGGACCGATGATCGTCAAAGAGTGATTTACCAAAGGGCTTACGCATTCATTCTCCAAACCCCTGTTGCTGCTCGACAACTCTTTTCTTCAGAGTTAAATGCTAGTGAATTTTTAAGACAAGTTTCATCTTGGTGGGACAAGCGTCCAGAGCCAAGACCGACCAATGGGCCACAAGTTCAAAAGTCATTCCCATCCGATAACCCCCAAGAGCTTCGAACGTTAGTTTCAATGAGGCAGAACGGCAACGGACAGGCAGCAGGTAATGACTATAAGATTAACTCTATGGTTTCCCGTCAATCTGGCTCTTTAGATGCAGCCAAAGGAGTAAGAATGGTAGAAGAGAGAATCGAAATTCCATACAGTACGGTTGAGCCAGCTACTTCCCACGCAGCCATTTTCTCTGTCCAGCAAGAGCCTCTCGCATCTGGCACACCATGTGAGGAATTCAATACATCGAGTTCAGAGGGCGGTATGAAACCTGCAAAAAACATTGATACTCCCGACAGCCCATCTGTCCCAAAGATCGTACCCACAAGGCAGAATCATATATCACAAGATTCCACAGGAGACATCCCCAACCACAGACCCGCCAGCTCACTTGCCGAGGTAATACTACACCCTGTCGCACCTTCTGCTTTAATTACGAATCCAGTGGGTGAGGAGAGGACATCGCAATTTGTAGAGAATCAGTCTATTGGAGCAGTACCCTTGAACAATTCGGTTGTGACTACAGTCAATACCAATGTCAAAGTGGATAAATCTGACAAACCTGAAGATTCTCTCTCAACCACTTCAACATCAAGTGACGAAGTGCCATCAGTCTCTTCTCCAAAAAAGGGACTCCTCCAAAGAATATTCGGATCATAGTTGTGCCCAGAACTAACATACTTAATTATAGACCGGAATGTTCCAAGCCATGATTCGACAGCCGCAATCATTGAGGACTCCTGTGGTGACCCCGTCGAAGAAGAAGAAGCATCGGGGAACCATGCATTCTGAAGACTCGGAGGCAATGCGACAGATCCAACAACGAAGATTAGCTAGAGGAGAAACCAATCGTACTTCTAGCCCTTTTCAATCTAAAAACCCTTCCACTAGATCCTCGTAAAGTGGTGCATTGACACATCAGCGTCATTCTCACGGCCTCGAAAAAAATACACACTAAAAATACCAATTCACTTTACAGTTTCTTTTTCTTTTCGATACCCGATGTTCAATAACAAACATCATCATCAACATCTTTCTAAAAATTTGAGCGAATGAAACAATCAGCAAATACGAAGGGCGCATTACATTTTTAGGGGCTCTGGAGTTGATGGGAGGAAGCGACAAGTCTGAACTTTACGGGGAATTGAAGGCCAATTCTTATTTTTCTTCATTATGATACCACATCTTTATTTTTGCGATATGGGGGAGGGCACTGGCAGATATTTACATGGAGGTTGTTACGATATCAATGACCGAGGTGTGGATGGAGATGCATATTGTTTTCTCACGAATTTTTCTTTTCTATTGCTTGCTCAATACGAGGATACGAATGAAACATAGAGAATTCATGCATGGCTGCGCAAATAGAGCTTCGGAAGTTTGCATAGGTCATGGTAAATAAGGGAAGGGATGTGTAAATAATGAGGGGTGGGAAAATGATGGTGGTGGATACATAACCTGGCCTGATCCTAATTTTCAGCAAACAAACACTGATAGCATTCAAATGATGAGTAATCTGTGAGATGAAATCAAATAACGAAATAAGTCTAAGCACATGTGTATATGCTTCTAGGGTTTGTGGAACTGAACGAGGTGATTTATTTCTTTTGAGACTTTATATACATGTCTTTAGGGTAGAACAGTGATGCTTTTTATATCCTTAAGTTCCGGTCGGTTTATCTGTAGGGGAAGGGTGGTGGGTAGATAGGTAGGTAGGTGGTAATGATATTTTATGTGTTGTGCGTTGTGCGTTGTGCGTTGTGCGTTGCACATTGTAAGCTGTGGACTCGATATTAATCATGGTATAATATGTAAAGCAAACAACATGGCTTGTCGAAATAACGAATAGATCCCCCTTTTACCGTCCGTTCTTTGATCTGGATTCGAGAGATATTTGAGAAAAGTGGATTGGATATAAGTGAGGCGTGTTGGTGCATACTACATTGCTCTTTTGAGGTGCGAGATAATGCTATTGCAACGTTTACCTAGCTCTGGTAAGGAATGTGGAGTTTGGAGAAAGATAGATTTGAGATGAGGGAGTTTCGAAAGCGATATCTAGGATTTGAGTGGGGGGTGTTTTTCTAGAGATGAATATTGCGAACTCGAAGGTGTCTTTAGGTGTTTTGGTCGGGGGTGAGGCAACGCGATATCTTGGGAGTATGTAGTTGTGGGGGTTGAGGACGAGGGCAGGGGTATGTGTATATGGTTTTGGAGCGGTTGAGTTTATTCGGATATATTGGGGTGAATGGCTGCTATTGCTATTGCTGGGTTTCTTTTCCACACTCTTTTCTTGTTTTTTTTTTGTCTTTTTTTGTTTTATCGCAGCGTTGAGAGTTATAATGCATATACATTGATAAGACGAACATGAAGTTAAAAAGTCTAACTCTTACGGCGCACCTCCAAGCTCTCAAGGGATTGTATATCTTAAGGAGGAATATGAGGAGGACGTGGGTAATAAGGAAATGTTGTAATGACTGGAAGAGTGAACATATTTCCTGTATTCAAAGTTTGAAGTTTGAAGTTTTGAAAGGTTGTGGATCGATCAATTTTTGGAGATTGAAAATTGATAATTGATGTGAAGATACTTGATAAGAATGTCTAGGTATAACGAATGACTCGGTATGTGTATGTGTGAACGAGAATAAGCGAGAGAAAAAATGAGTAGATGAGTGGGAAGATGGGAATCTCTTCTCTTCCCTCTCCTCTCGCTATCTATGTATAAACACTTTATAGACTCTAAAGATTCTAGTTTAGAGTTCAGTAATGTAATAATGAAACCCTTCAAAGAAAAGAAAATACTCGTTGTTGAAGAAACTAAATTTTCTCGGTAAATTTAGAACGTCTCCTTAATATTGTTCTTGAGGCTTAGTATTGTTCGCGTCACCGTGGAAAAATATAAACGAAGGGGATGAATTTAGGATTTCTTTGATAGCGACGTCAAGCTGATTGGCTAGGGGATGGATAGTTTTTCTAGAAGTTCTAGAATTTGTAAGAGGGGCAGTTGGAAGGTTTATGGAGGCATTTAGATAAATTATTCCGGTTTTCTTTCTCGGAATCCCTTCGGACTAGACCTTTTAAGTCCTAGAAATATCGGTACTGCTATTTATGAAGTTCTCATGAAAGACTGGTCTGTTCTAGAGGTTTGGGATCATCTGATAGAAGAAACTCTTGGTGAACATTGAAAGGGAACGATCATGGCAAGACAGTGATTCCAAAGCTGCCCAGAGACATGACAGAGATGTGTTGATCTGGAAGCGAAAAAAAAAGTGCGCTATAAATGCTTTAGGAGTGAAAGGCTATGAAGAAAATCGTATGTCGTGTCGTAGAAACAGATGCTTCAAGTCATGAGAAAAATATTAGATTCTCTAACCATCAAATGAAGAAGTAAACGGGTCGTAAATGACTTTGTGGTCCATAACGAAATACCTAATACCTAGTCATTGAAAATCAATTGCCGGTTTCAATATTAATCATGACAATATATCCCGTCACCAAGACCCGAAATTCAATGCTTACAACCTCGCTCTTTCCTCGATCCTCTCTCCGCCAACTCGCCCATTTAATTCCTTACTGACGCCTTTACTAATCCAGTCACTAATCGCCATATTCGTAATCATCGGATTAACTCCACTCGCGCTTGGGAATACACTTGCATCACTAACATACAGATTTTCTACACCCCAAACCTTTCCCTTGGGATCTACAACTCCGTTTTCCGGGCTTGTACTCATGCGCGAAGTACCCATTTGATGCGCAGATGCAAACTGAGATGCTGGAGGTTTTGTATTAATAGTAGAGAGTGTCGTGAGCCAAGTTTGAAAGGCGGGGTCGGAAGAAAAGTCATTTGAATTGGTGGAAAGAGAAGGTGGAGAACGAACGAAAGGCTCAACGCCCTGAGTCGTGATATGTATCTCTCTTGCGCCACTTACGTAACAGATCTTTGCCAAAGCAAGGACACCTTGCAGAATGTGACCTCTGTCAAAATCACTCGGGGTGTATGAGATTCGTGGAAGACCAGTCTTGGCATCAAGATATACAAGTCCACTGTCGCGGTCTCGAGCGATGGAGATGAAAACATTCATGTGGCGGTAAAAGAGGGATTTGAATTTGTAATCAAATCCAGTTGGGTAGTTGAGAGTGGGGAGGCAAAGGGATGGCATCATACAGGTTGCTTCAAGTTTGACACCATGGCCGTGCGAATCGAGGTTTTCGAAAGAGCTACATACGCTTGTGAGGATACCACCTGGTAAAAGGCTTGTTAGCAGGAAGTTTAAGAGAAAAAAAATCTAAAATCAGAACGACATACCTTCCCAAGGTTTCACATCTTCGGGGAATACAGCGCCGACCATACTGACTGGGTGAAGATATAAGTTCCTTCCGATTTGTGGATTCTATCAATTCATGTCAGTAGACTGTTTATATTGAATAAAGAACAAAAACCTACTGTGAGACCACTATTTTTCAATATAACAGGAGTCCAAAGCGTGCCGGTCGAGATGATAACTTTCTTCGCCTTGACAATAACTTCTCGAGATGTTTTTTGAGATAAAGGACCATCGACACCACCCTGACTATTCCTCGAAGTCCAAACTCCCTTCACTCCAATTGCTTTTTTCTCATCCAATTCATCAAAAATAACATGATCAACCTTAAACCCTTCAATAAACTCCGCACCGGCCTTCGCGGCATCTGGTAGCCAGGACACAACTGGCCCCTGCTTCTGTGAAGATCCACATCCATTTGAGCAATGTCCACAATAATGTTCATGTCCTCCCGTATTTTGCGGAACAGGCTTCGCATTAAATCCCAACTTTCTCGAACCCTCCAATAACACCTGGTTTCCATGATTTTGCCTTATATGTTCCGCACTAACACCCATTCTCTCACAAACTCTATCCAAACAATCCTGAAAATCCGTCGAATCAAAAAACTTCAATCCTCTATCCTCAGCCCATTCTTTCCTCACAAAATCTTGTGTTTGTAAACTTGCGCTCCAATTAATAGTTCCTCCACCTCCCCAATTACTAGCCGCAACAACCGACATGCTAGAATCATCACTCATAATTACCCCTCCATTTTCAAACAGGTGAATACCCGAAGTCGCTTCGGACATTGGTAATTGTGAAGGAGGATAATAATAGGATTTCTCCACCACCACAACCTTATGTCCATCTTCCGCTAAATTCTTCGCACAAACTGCACCTCCGCATCCACTTCCCACAATCACAACATCTGTCTCAATAATCCAAGGTTCCTCGCCTGCCGAAAATTGAAGAAACTCATACTCGTAATGAGGACCTGGCTTATATTGATCGGGAACTTTGGCAAATCCCGTGACTCGATCGAAGTTTGGTGACGTTTTCAGCCAAATGTGTTTACCTAATAAAGACATTGTATTGGCAATGGCACGAAGGGGAAAGAGGTATGAATTGCGCCAATTAGCAAGGATTGATTCACGGATGTTGATTGGATGAGACTGTAGGGGTGAAGCGTAGCCTGTGAGCAATAATGAGCCGAGGCGGGTATTGAGAGTGGTGAGAATGAAACCAAGGACTTTCCGAGCATCCTCACGAGCATATGTGGTCAAAGTACGAAGGAGAATGTCTTGAAAAGCTAGAATATCGGACGGCTTTTCATTGAGGTATGCTTCTAATGCTTCCGTTGACGGTGGCGATGAGATTGATGTTCGCATGTGAGTTACAGCATCACTGTACTGTTCATCGGGAACTGAGAGTTGACTGAATGGATCATTCGTGGCTGAAGCTTTATGTATTGAAGGAATTACTGTATCCATGATTGCCATTAATGTACTCCATTGCAAATCTGTGAAGTATCGATCTTCAGGAGGGTCAGGTAATGGAGCGACAATTGGTGCAATGATATCAGCCATATTCGAGGTCATAGTGGAAGATGCCAAATTTTAAGATAGAGAGTATCAAGACTCAAGTATATAAAATGAAAAATGAGCGAAGGGATGTGTTCATATATATATATAGGTAAAATCCATGTAAAGTTATAAAGATTGATGATAATAATAAGCTTGAGCTCCAGTTTAATAACTCTGTTGTACCTGACATGAGGTCTTCAATACCTAGCTCTATGTAAGTGAAATAAGAGGCGGGAACTGAGTCCTCTTTCAAAGAACTTCTTAATTGAATTATAAATTCATTTCAAATCAAATACTAGATTCTGAAAATATCAAACGAAAATTTGAGCCTTCTTCATGTGGAAGGCAAGAACTACATGTATTTAATACAATGTTGAAGAGAGACTCGAACTATCAAAGTTCTTTTGAATGGTACTCAACTTTTGCCTCTTATTTCGCTTACATAGAGTCTAGGTGGATCGATCTGATCGGAACTTTGTCTTCCGTTCCGCGTACCGAGGCTGGCAAGGGATGTTATGAAAGAACCCCAGATATAATTAATTAGGTTTGAAGTTAATTTATCCCCTAGACTGCCAAGTCATGGCGCCCGGACAGTCCGTGCAATATACCCTGTATGAAGGAGTCTGATTGATCAATAAGTCCTTGTTAAGCGGAAGCGCCTCGAGTTGGCAGTCTAGGGGTTCAGGAAAATAGTGTAACTTTAAAAGATCAATTACAATCGGGGTGACATTTTGAGCCAAAGAATAGGATTGCAGGCCTATCTAAAACCCTGTTTTTTGACATTTATGCTATACATGCAGGGGCTATAACTCTCACTCATACTTCTTTTTGTTTACCAGCCTCCCCTCCTCAATCATACACAGATACATGAAAGACCTCGTAAAAGAAAAAAAGAAGGGAATGGTCTCCGAGCTCTCTTTACGAACTTCGGTCCTTCCATTCGGCTATCCTCTCCTGGTTACGCTAATCTCAGGATTCTCGAGACGTTTGTTGCTTCGCTGCCACGATTACGGAGATGAGCACGTGTCGTGGTATTTGACTTGACCGCTTGACATGAAACGACTTTCAAGGATCACGAAACAGAGAATGAGAGATTCGGATATACGGAGTGAGGACACTTTTCGTCGGGGCGAATGTTGGACAGCCTGTTGGAATCAATATCGGGAATTAAAGACAGAGTCGGCATGATATTCGTTCTCCTGGGGATACCAGAAAGTATCAAGGACTGGTGGACAATGTCCCAAGGACTGCTCTATAGATCGTATTCAATTTGCCTGAGAAATCAATAATCCTGCTTTGCGAGGGTGTATGTTTCAACTTCATTCTTGACTGAACCAACTTCTAGTTACAGCAAATTAATGACTCGTTTGAGTATCAATTCCAATTAGATTTTACTAATAAATCCACCTTTTTTTTTAGCTACAGTAGATTCTACGATAGTATATTTTGGATTTGAAAAAATAGATTTTTATATTTCGTTTTAAAAATATATATATTAATTCTAATATAAAATCTATAAAAAAGATTAAAAAAAAGATAAATATATAATATATATTACGATTACATACTAGGTATCGATAGAAGTCAAACAGCTAGAATAAGAAAGCTAAAGAGGAAAGAGATTCTTAAGAAATCTCTTTATTTCTTATATAGTAATAATCGCTTAGTTTATACTATCTTAAACTAAGACATATATAATAAGTAATCATAATGTCATATGATATTCGTTACAATAAATATATATATATATATTTAAATAAGAAAATTCGAATCTTTAATATACAAATTTAAATTTTAAGCTTATGATTGTTATTTAAATAATTAAATAAATAAATATAAAAATAATTTCTTTTAATTGAAATTAAAATCTAAATCAGTTTAAGTTATATTTATTATAATAGCTTATAAATTCGCGGATTTTTCAACTAATCGAAAATAATAATTGCTTTTTCTAATTATTGTTTTCGATCCACATTTTCTTTTTTTCTATACAAATTAATGAAAATTGAAAAATTGAAATACAGATTAAATTTGAGATTTTAAAAAGCTTATAAAATATTCCATCATTTTATAAAAATTATACAAAATCTATCATTTTGATTCATTTTCTATTCAAACAGAAACACAGAATTCGTCATCAAAATGAGCGAATTATTCGATAGAATCTAATGGGATTTGTATATTCAAATACCTCTAAGACTCTGTGTCGCCGGCCACCCTCGGTAGCAATAAACTTGTCAATGAGTCCTCAAGCAGTGCTACTAGTATCAGTCCTTGCGAGCGAGTCTATCTGATACTTTTTATTAGTTTCTCTCCAACTCCCGGATCTTGAATGGGGTTGATATCATTACTCTCGCCAAAGGTTCGAATATATATGGCTTTAATCCTGAAAGAGAAATTTTTAACGGTCACTCACATGGACACACTTTGTTCAACCGCCACAGCTTCTTGGAAAGTAATACGAATCAGTAATGAATATGAGAGACGTTTGATCGTATTAACAGTAAGTTTGCATTCAAATCGAGACACATCTCATGCGAACAGGACTACTTGAAGATTATCATTACTTCCCTTTCGGATACGGTGATTGGAAAATGTAGTACAGAATCTTAGTTTATATTCTTTGGAGCAGCTTTTCAATGGTTCATTTCAGGTCCAAAATTGAAAAGCTGTGTGGATTCAGTAGTATGTTCTTCCCATAGAGCATCTTTCAAATCTTCATCATGAACTGAACGTTGAATCATCATCTGTAAGAGTGACAGTAAAAACCATCAGAGGTTTACCTCATTTATCAATGATAGTTATGGGATTGAAATGCCTATAGTCTATGATCAAACAATTCTTGGTGACATGCAGCTACCTACCTAGTATCATATACAAGATCATTTCATCTCAGTCGTACTTGAGTTCGTTATAGTACCGTAAGTCCCTCTCACCTCTGGCCTGTATTATATAAACCCAAATCACAACAAAACTCTCGGCCCAGCGTGTGCGCTTAGCACAGCGGTAGAGGTTCAAGATTGCACAAAGTGCTTCATACTAGGTTCAAGACGATCCCAGATAGCGAGAGACCTTTCGCGGGTTGTGGCGGCCGGCTTTTTTTTTTGTTTCTTTTTCTATCCATGTTTAGGAGTTCTTATTGTGGTTGTGTTGATTTTTTGTTATTCGTGGGCGATGTTTTGACTTATTTTGATGGGGTGTATGGAAAAAGGTGATGGGGCGACGACAGTGAATGTTGTTGTCGGAAGTGAAGTGAGGATATATTGTGGAGCTGGTTGACCTTGGAACGGCATGCCTACTTTGGCCCATACAAAAATTACCTAATAAGCATCTTAAGTTGAGTAGGTATATCAGTGCTCTTGATCCGACCTACGCGATGATTCTTCTATACTTACATAGGGTTTCGTACTTAAAATACGTATACAAAAAATGCAAGTGATTGCAAGTGATGGTCGAAAAAGTCAGAAACTATTATTGCTGACCCATGTTATCAAGATTCAAATTCGCAACTACTTCATCTTAGGACCTTGAATTTATCCAAACTCTAAACAGGATGACTGATTTTCTTCCTATCTCAATAGCCCGTAAGCTTTTCAAGTAGATATTCGAGGAGATTCAATCTGCCAGAAAGGGTATACAAACACAAGAACGTGGATCGATGAATATTGTACTTGACGTCGATAGCGTATATATGGAATTGCTTGTGAGACGTGGATACCGTAGCGATGAAGTCATGAGTCGCCTGTAAAGCTTTTTGTATAAACAATATTTAGACCCAATAATGTTACTCACTGTTGAGCCGTATGGGCAGGTGTTACTCCAATTTAATACCAAACGACGCAACCATAACCCCATTTGTATTTGTCCCATTGTCAGTCCAACCCTTCATCCCGCTTTATTCGTCATTCATCAAAATATCGTCCTGAATCATTCCACCAGCCCCTCCCTCACCTAGCCGTCATCTTCGCGCCATAAACTCCAGCGCTGCCAACACCTAGACCTGTAGCGGACAATACACCCCATGTAAGAGCTGCAATTTCCCAATCTTCATCCTCATCATGATCACCTTCGGCTAGATTTGGAGTAGTGGTAGCCGTTGGGACATATACGACAACTTGTGAGGATCTATTGGATTTCCTAGGACGGCCTCGGCGACGAATAGGAGAGGGAGTGTCACTTTTGTGGGTTGATCATCTATCAAATGACTTAAAAGACTGGGCGTGGAAACTTACAGTTGAGAGATACCTTCCACTTCCTCCTTAACCTTTACCCCTGCTTTATCTTTCTTCATCCAAGGGATGACCACTCGTAAAATCTCAATACCATCTAATCCTCTCACAGCAGCCCATGTCCCAAGACTTAACCCGGATAGAATAACATCATATCCGACAGACGCTACAGCAGGGTGGTCTGATATTGCACCGAAGACTCTTTCTAAGGCTGTGAATGCACGAGATGTGTTTGATCGATTGACCTTGTCGAGAGGATGAAGTAGACTGTGGCGGTAATAGTGATTCTCTGGTGTATTATAGAGTAAAGCCAATCCCGTGGTTCTAACATGAAGAATCGAGGATATCATGGAGAGACTGCGAAAAATTCTCTTGTATGAAGAATGAGCTTCATGTGGGTGATCGTACGTAGTTCCCCAATGCTCAGGTATAATGTATGGAAGTAATAATGGTGCGAAAGGAAGCGACATCGATAAGAGTGCTACTGTCCCAAATGAAGATGTATTGGCCGCAAAAGGTGTCAAGAACAAGGTACCATACCCAGAGATAAGTGAGGCAATGTAGAAGCCAGAATTTGGTAGCCAATTATGAGCTCTTTGTGGAACGATCTTCTCGAACCATAATCTAGATTATGAGAGTAAGCACGCGTTCTAATCACAGAAATAAAAGAACCCACTTGTGCACACTCCCGAAAACTCTCCTCGTATCAGTCAAGACATCCACGTTCTCTGGCAATGGAACTGGAGTCAACAGAATAGCTACGAACCACAAGTTTTGAGCAAATGATACATTAACAAGCTGTCCCAGGAGAATGAATGCCCATAGGTTAGAGATATTTCTTCGGCGTCCTTCAATAGCTACATATGTACTGAACGAATTCATGGCAAAATTAGCTTGTTGACCCCACCAAAAGTATCTTGGATTTTCGGCGACTATCTCCAGATTATCACGGTAGAAAGGGGTATCGTTAAGCCATCTGATGATTTCGAATCGACCTGGATGTTGACCCAATCGAAAAGCACCTTTATCACCAAAAAGACTGTACTTAACGTGAGTATGTTTTATGCCATACAGTTAACTTCCTCTGGAAGATTTGCAATAACAGACCTATCAGGCAGCTCAACGCCTCTCTCAAGTGCCCAAACTCTATAGCTTAAACTCGCCCCACTCACACCGAACCATCCAGCAGTAATCAGACCTAATAAAGCCAAACTGATGAATATCCTAACATGATTACGCCTTAAAGGTTGACGATGTCTTGTGGCAGATGAAGGTGGGAGTGCCAGGTATGAACGATAAATGGTGCGAGAAACGAGGGCTGTTAAACATGACGTTAAGAGTATATGTCCTCCTAGCTGTAAAGCTGGAAGGAGACTGTACGTATGTATTAGTATTCCCGTTTATAGGTTGTCAAACAGTCTGATGATTTGATGCAACGAAACATGGGAACATAAGTTTGAACATAGTAGTACCTTGGATCCCGATCGATTTCGATCGGCGCCATTTTCACACGCTTTTTCTCAAATCAAACCAATGCAAAACAATATCGAATATCAATGCAAAAAAATACAGATTCATAAGTCATTAAATACCAATTGAAGAAGATGGATGTGATTCTCAAATATTGATGTTGTTAGTTGGCTTTGACACGTGAGAACTAGAACTAATGGGAAGAGTCCACCTGTGGGTGCACGGACTCACGGGGCAGCTTATAAGTAAAGTACAACTTCATACCAAAAAACCGATTTTGATAATTCAATTAAAATTCGAAATCTCAACAAATTTATTTGAAATTGAAATATATAATTTCTAAATAAATTTTCTTTTATATGACATCAGGATCTAATTGAGAAAAATTAAATGGAAGTTTCTCTAATTGAATATATAATTTCTAATTAAAATATTTTAATAAGAAGATATAATTATAGACTTTAAGGCTCATTTTTTTTTGTTTTTCAGATATATTGTATTTTAATGTTTGATAAATTGATTTTATAAATTTAAAGGACATGTAATGAATTATTGAAATTAATGAATTTGAGTGTGAAATTGTGCTTATTTTTTAGGTGTCCCGTGAGTCCGTGCACTCACTGATGGTCCATTAGTTTCTGCGTCATGCAAGCTTAGCCTAACCATTTCTAGCTTTGCTCAGCCTTGTGTCAAGGCTTCGCTGAACTTCGTCGCAAGACATGTCTTCTTAGGAATAGGATGTCTTGCAATTAATTTTCACAACTCAATTCCATCTGCAAAGCTTTTCATTCTTTTTTTCATGAGCCCGATGTTTAGTATAACAATATCCTAGCTCAGACCTTAACTCCTACCCAGATCTATTTGCACACGCCGCACAATCTTCTCGAAAACGCCCTGCGTCCCTATTTGATAGCACTTCTTCTACAATTCCTTGGGCACTCTGTTTGCGAACTTAAGCTCTACCTGTTTTGGATTATCAGAGGATCCTATAATTCTACCGAATTTCCGCAGGCTTTTCAGCCTATAGACGCGCCGCGAAGCTTATAAGGATTCCAAGATTGTGGTGGATTGGTATCTGCAGGTCCCGCAGTCGACAATAACAAGATGTATCATTTAGCAAAGGGATTGTATCGATATGCCACTAGTAAAGAGGGTTAGTTTTGACCTTTCAATCGCTTATAGATTCTCAATTCCCTATGATTCAGCACTTGCTCGTACACCAATGCTAGCTCAAGTGTTCAATGGTGGATTTCGTTGAAAGTCAGACCTCAATTGACATCAAATATGAATCGCACATGTCTTCCTGTCTTTCTCGTTTCCACAGATTCTGTGGATTCCTTCTATGATTAAAATTGCATCTAATCCTATCTCTCTGCTTTCGCAGACTAACATACAACAGAATACTCCGTTCTCCTCCTCGGCCTTGATAATGCTGGCAAAACTACTCTCCACACCCAAATCAAATCTCTATATTCCCCTCACAACCCCGCTCCTGCCGATCCCTCACAGTTAAAAACAGTACCCACCGTCGGTCAGAATGTCTCCACCATCGACCTTCCAGATATGTATCTGAAGATTTGGGATATAGGAGGTCAACATTCTCTTCGAAAACTATGGCAATCTTACTATACCAGTTGCCACGCCATCGTCTTTATAATTGATAGTACCGATATTGGGTCTGGGGATCTCGCTGATTTGGACTCTGATACCGGGGATAAAGATGTAGGGAGATTAGAAGAGTGTAAATTGGTATTGGAAGATGTGTTGAAAAGTGTGGAGACGGAAGGAGTGCCAGTGTTGGTTCTAGCAAATAAACAGGACAGGGAGGATTGTGTGGAAGTTGTGAGGATTAAAGAGGGTTTAGTAAAGAGAGTGTTTGAGGGGGAGGGAGGCGGTGCGATTAGAGACAGTAGGGTTTTACCAATTAGCGCGTTAGGTGGAACGGGTGTTAGGGAGGCGGTAGAATGGGTGAGAAGTAGAGTTGTTTGGAATAGGGAGGGGAGGCCACCTGTTATGCGGTAGTCGGGGAGGGTGGAGGTATGAGTATTCGAAGATATAAGGTCAACATGGGGTGGGGCCATCACGCAATTTTGGGGGAAATGGGAGGAGTTATGGAAGAGGTGCTAGTGAGCTTTGTGCTTCAATTGCTTTCCATGATCCTATTCCTGATCCGCAACTCTGACGTCATGAGCATCCAGATGTATCTGACTTTCTCGGAAAAGAGGTGGACAGGGAGGACAAAACCCCTCGAGGATACTTTCAAAATGGCCCAGATTTAACGAATCATTTTAAGGGAACGTCTTAAGCGAGGGGGGGCAAGCGAATTACATTTTGATATTAAATTAAGGATAGCCAAGGAGTTTAGTGGGCGTTTACTTGTAGCTAATAAACAGACGAAGTAGAAGTAGGAACCGAGAGAAAGAAAGAGGTGCGTTCTATATTATGCCGCACCAACGGCGAAAGATTTCAGGATATTATGATTAATTGTCAATATTACCAATATTTCTAAGCGTCTGTGATTCTCAATGAGTTCTCAGACAATTATGTTTCTTGACTCGTGCATCACATAGCTGTCTATCCACCACGCCTAAGACAGTCTCATCCTCTCCAACTCAGTTACTAGCCACTTTCTCGGATACCCTTAAACACCTCTTCCCCTGAATCCCGAAATCCGCGGTCACAAATCTGAAGTCGTAAGTTCTGGTACTCACCGCCATGGTCTGATCCTATTCTATTCTATCCGATCTAACGAAAACCTCTGGAACAATCATGCTCACTTCGAATGATAATCCCATACGCGATGTAAAGTTTCTGATGTGCGCGAATTTCAAACTCCTGTTCTGGTACTGGTACTCAGGTGTTTTCATCCCATCCTATCCCATTCATCCCAGTGAAATGTTAGGAAATTCTCGAATAATGTCAAACGCTACATCGCACTGCTTAACCTCTGACCACCCCTTTCCTTCCCTTCCACTCTCGCATAATTTTTTGAACAAATCCGATAGGAGAAAAGAAATTCCCCGCTCTTGATATAATCATACATTTACATTTACCCGGTACCTACTAGATCCCTCATCCCTTCTCGAACTACAGCAAACACTATGCCCCGCCCCTCTCCTCTCCTCTTCTCTCTTATCTAACCACCTCCAAGCATCTAAATTCCCACATACACTCAGCATCTACTTTTCAATTCCCAAATCACAAGAGTTCAGATGTCAGCCTCAATATCTGAATTCAAAGTCATTCTCATCCTTGTTTCGATTCCCAGCCCCCTAACTTCAAATTCCTAACCCTCAACTCTAAATCCGAAACCCATCTCCTTCCACTCCCCTTCCCACTTACCCTTTCCTTTCCCTACCCTACCCATCCCAAGCCGAACCATCCCATCTCCAATCTTAGCACCATCTAAAATTTCCGCCTCCCCCCTAAATCTCACATATTCAACACAACCCTCAACCCTCAAACCCAATTCCGCCATCACAATCACAATACTCATCTCATCGTCCGTTCCTCCAATCTTCCATCCATCCTGAATATCCTTCCAAATAGCCTTTCCGCTCCACTCCCATCCGCTTATCCTCACCTCAGGCTCAAGCATGCCCAGTCTCCTAATCTCAGATCTTCATTCCATTCGATCTCCGTCTTGAACTCCTTCCGTTCCCCTCCGTTCTTCATATACTATACTACACCTCCTCTAAACAACACCAACAACGAAAGTAAATCAAGAGCAAAATCAGAACCATCCAAATCCAGATCCAGATCTAATTTTATACCTATACCTATACCCATACACATCTATACCCCCTCCCAACTTCCTAACTTCCAACCAACCAAAACGTTCCACCGTAACCCCAATTCCTACCTACCAAAGAAATACCTCACTCATCCATCCAAATCTCAAGCCTCAAACCCCGACTACGCCTTTTCTCTCTTCTCTCTTCATTCCTCACTTTTCCCTTCCATTCCCATTCCCATTCCCTCCCCTCCCCCCCTTCTCCCCTTCTCCCCTTCTCCCCGTCTCCCCTTCTCCCCTTCTCCCCTTCTCCCCCAAAACTCCAAGTCCACACACACATCCCCATCCACCCCAAAATCCACCTCAAAATCCTTCCCAAATCCACATCCAAGCACAATCCCAAATCCCAAATCCAAGTCCAAGCGCACACACCACACCGTACCTCAGATCATTCTAGAATTAATCTCCAGAATAACCGCTAAGCTACGCATTTCCCATCTGGCATTGACCATTCTTCGCTGAAAGAATTAAGCATTCAATAGTCTGTAGGAACTAGTCTAACCTTACCGCTTGGAAGAGTCGACACCTATAGTAGATGAGGACATCGATATCTTGACAATAGGCGAACTTTGATTCACTACATTTGTATCCCATCATCCAATCAAAATGCAACAGGATAAAACATATAATCTTTTAATCTTCAAACTTTCATTGTATCAGAGCTGTGTTATCTGATCTAACCCTAGGACAAGAACCACACGGCCAGCAATTCAATCCTTAGATGTCTCTCAACTTCTCCCTTCAATTCAAAACACCCCATCCATCCCATTCCATCATACCTAGAATATTCCCATTGCTCGATCTTCAATCGTCGATTCCATTCCCATGACCGTGATCATATCATTTCCAATACGCCATCCATAAAATAATGGATCCATTTCATCATTCGCCAATATCAAAGTCTAAATGATATATACGCGTCCCATTGTATAGCATCAACCAAAAGAACCCCACGCTAAAGCAACTACAAACGCAAAAAAAGCAAAGAGAAAATTAGTTTAAAATGTAACATGTATGAAGATCTTTGTCAAAGACAAACTCTCCATCAAAAAATCAAAAGATAAACAAGCAATAGTATATTGCTCTGGCACAAAGGCCTATTTCAAAGCCGATCAAAAAGTAAGCTAGATCTTTGGGTATTCAACGCGATGAAAGCAGGCGATAGCAACGCTAAATTCGACTCGCAGCAAGCTTTATATTGTTGAAGACAAGCCTGGCGATATTGGTTGAAAATTATGTGTCGATTCGTACATCTTTCTCTCAAATAGGCCGTTTCTTAACGTGACTGTGGTATAAAAAAAGAAGGGAATTCGTAGAATTCGTAAACGTCCAAGTGTGTATATGTAATGTTCCAAGTTTCGTCTAAAAGGTACTCCAGTGCCAATCTCTTGGGACACTTGCTGGAAGACTTTCGGGCGGACCTTTCAATTGTTGACCGATGAGATTGTCGACAACTCTACCTCTGGCGCAGTTGACGACTGGAGTAGTGGGAGTTCTGGGTTCGTCTTGAGAACTTTCGCTGTTGGATCGACTGGATCGTGCAATAGACCAGCTTCTATACTCGTGCCAGCAATGTTCGCAGGAGCGACTTTGAGTGCCCTTTGGGTGGTAGTTGGCATCTTGATCAAGAGGAATTGAATAACCAGAGTGTTGATCGCAGAAAATGTTTCCACAGCGCCGGCAATGATGGCGCCTTGTAAAGTATGTGAAGTATTTTGTGCAAGTAGTTTCATCGCAGATGGAGGATTCGGCATCAGGCTATTGAACAATAGAGTTAGCATCCCATTTTGGTAGATATTAAAAAGTAAAAAGACTGGAAGATAATCGGCATGTAAGGTGGATAGATATTTGTTTGAAGCACGCGACCAAGCCAAGCGATGGGGAATGGTGTGCATGGTGGCTAGGGATCCATTGCGACTTTCTAGCACGTAATATCCCTCAAGGTATTGCAACATTTGTTTGCACAAGTTACAAATACCCCCAACACCCCAAGACTTCTTGAACGCAAAAAGATAAAGGTCAAAAGGTAAGGCTCGTCCATAATCTTTCCAATTTCTTTCTTTTGCTTTGGTTCGAAGAAACAGAATGAGAAAACTTTTGCTAACATACCTTCCAGTGATTTCTTGTTGGCAATGAAGTTACCTTTCCAAGGCCCTCACCACTCCATTCAGATTCGGTTATTGCGCCCAATCCAAATTTTCCGCTATCTCCAGTCGATCTTCTAGTCAACGTTGTTGCGCTCTCCAAATCATCAAAGCTGCTATGCATACTTTGTGGTGGAGTAAGTGGTGATGGCTTCATCATTCTCCTAGGTGGATCTGTTGGTCTCAAAACCGCTGGCACATACAATGGTGACTTGGGTGGTCGCAACTGTCTAGTATGCGCTGGTAAATAATTCGGAAGTCCATTTCTTGGTGAAGTGGGAGAAGCATTATTTGGAGTGGGCGGAGTTGTGTTTGTCGGAGAGATTTGTTGGCTGTTGTAGAGAGTATATTGAGAAGGGGAAGTCGTGAAGTGCTGAACCGGCATTGCGAAATCTGTAGACATGACTCTGGATTTCTCTGATGTGAAGTCGTAAGTGGTAGTAGAAGGAGGGTAGGAAGTCTGTCGATTTGTTTCGAAGAACATGGAATTTCACTCTCACTTTCTGATATGAGAGTTGAGGGTTAATGAAATGTTGCTTTTCTATTTCTTATCGGTGAAAGCGACCTAAGGTAACAGCGACCGAACGGCGGCGATATTATTGTGCGCCTCCTAAAGATAGAAGACGGTAGGTTGACGATGCGGTTATCGTAGGCCTTACAATTATTATAAAGCCTTCTTCGGAAAGTTCTTATGGAACCAACGTCCAAATTCGATTATTGAGAAATGACGTGTGGATGGTTAATAACCACAATTATATTCTATTGATAATAAATGATCAATAGAATATGATTGTGAGAGGTCAATGAATGATTATTTATTATGATGTAAGCTATTAAAACTGTATGACTTCGGGTGTCGTGTCGAGAGGAAGGGAAAATAAGGGAATCTCGTGTAGAATAGGTGAGTAGGAGGAATTCGGTTTTATTTAATCTCTTGGTAGCGTTGTAGTGTTGTGGCGGGTGTATTGGATGATTGATATCCAGGTAGTTCTCGCTTCGACCAATTGGTTCTTTATGAGTCGATATGAGAGATAACAATGCAAATGCAGATGCAAATACAATCCAATCTTCTTTCAAGGATCCTT